TATTTGCTTATTTCCAAATTATGATAATTTATATGGATACTAATCTTAGGAAGTATTTGTAAGAAGGTGGGTAGAGAAAGAGAGAGGGAGAAAAAGATTGAAGGGAGGGGGATGATTGAGGGGAAGGACTGGAGTCGAAGGGGGAGGAGGAAGAGGAGCGGAGGGAGACTATGGTTTGAAACTGCTGCTTACATAGGCCAGATTTATGCCAGGGCCAACCTGAAACAGCAGGTTCATTCCACATCTCATTTACAATTTGGTCTTGTTTTCTAGATTGCACCATCTGAATCCCGTCACCCTCAATCAGAACTGACCTCTGATAACTTCAGTGATTTACACCTCTGTGTTCACTCAAAAATTATTTCCATACCTGATCTCTTGAGGCAAGGTTCTGTTCTAGGAGGTTAACTTATATGTCTGCCCCTGGCTCAGTCTCAAACTACATTTCTAGCAAGTTTCAGGAACACCACTTTCCGGAAAGTTCTAAGAGGCTTAGTGAGTAGGGGCTACAATCCAGTAGCATCCTTGTCTGTAACTGCCTTTTGATGTAATCTCTCCAACTGTGAAAACATGGTACTGCAGAATAAGTTAAGCATCCTTGGGTTTGACTAGGACCCTGGGTCCTCACCTCCAAAGCTGGTCCCTTTCTGTCTGTACTGAGACCTTTGTAGGGACAACAAAGTAGCATCAGTACACCAAGGACCCAATTCTTCAACCTTAGGACAATTGTCTATGTAGGTGGTTTATCAGCAACCTTTCTTTTTCTTTTGAAAGTAAGAAAGAGATTGTAAAACTACCTGTGAAAGAAATATAGGTTTAATTTTGTTTACTAAACCGCTTCTCATGGTTGGAAGGAAAAGGTATAAAGAGAAGTTAAGCCCACCCTGTTTATACACGTTTGGGCTCTCCTAGGAAATGAAAAGTGTCTGTCGGGGTACAATTTTAATAGCGGATGCTGATTTGGGTCAGAATTTGCAGTGTGAGTTGCATGTAGGACAGTATGAAAGGTCTTAATAAAACCAGATTGTATTACAACATCCACGTCTCATCTCTTGGGCCTCCCAGAAAAGGTATTAGACAAAACTGCCCTTCTTTTGGTACTCTACTTTTTTGGTCTGCTCTTCTCTCTTGTACTTCCCATTTTCAAACCAACAACAAAAGCCCAGATATCACAACTACGGTGTTATTTTTCTAGCCAAAGCTCCCTGGGAGAAAACCAATGGTGAATGTGTTATGATACCTCCCAGGGCACCCAGAAAACTACAACTAGATGACAGCTGACAGCTGGGCTGCATGAAGTCACATCGGCTTGGTCTGGGGGTGTGGAGGGCGGGGGAGTGGGAGGAAGGAAAGCTAAAGGCAGGTTCTCAGTGGAGGACATCTTATCAAAGTAGGAAAGGAAGCCAGCATGGTGAAGCTGCAAATGAGCTTGTTCAAGTCAGCCAGCAGGCATTGTTTCATTTTGCTGTTCAGCCAGCTGATCTGTAGGAATCAGTTGGGTAAGCTGTTGTATCCTTCCTTAACATGAACCCATGCTTAAAACCAAGTCCCAAGTAAGCAGTAAGCTGGGAATGAAGGAAGTTGGGAGACCTCAGATTTCTCATTGTAAAGTGGGACAGCAATGACAGATGGAAAGCGCTGGCAAAGTACTGGGAGGGAGTTAAGAAGCCTGGGCTGGTGTCCAGAGTAGATCTCGGGAGCGGCTGCTAGTTGGTCCACAGGAGGAGTTGGTAAAGTGCTGGAAGGGACCTTGGATTAAACACCACCTGATCACCAAATTGCAAGACAAAAATGTGTATACGTGTGATTTCACTGAGCATGCCCACACCTAACCCCGCCCCCAAGGTAATCAACAAGGATTAATTTATGAGGTCAGTGAGATGGCTCAGTGGATAAGAGCACTTGCTGCTCTGCCAGAGGACCCAGGTTCAACTCCCCATAATCCTCCTGTCAGTTCACAGCCATGTGGCCCTCCAGCCCCAAGGGCTCCAGTGCTCTCCTCTGTCTTCTGCAGGCCAAGGGCCTCCAGGCACAGAGAACGCCCGTGCACACACAGTGAAACAATTCAAACTGTTTTAAAGAAGCCCTAAGTGCTGCTCAAATTCCAAAATTCATCAGTTTAAACTGGGCTCTTGTAATCCACTTGACCATTTGGGACATGGAAATTGTATTTACTTCAGATGAGTTCTGAGCAACAAAAACCAAGGATGCTTATGCAATTTTCAGCTCTAATCTTTGAGTGCATGTTTTAAAACTAATGTAGGGGCTAAAGAGATGTTCGGGTGTTAAGAGCACTGGTGCTTTTCCAGAGGATTGAGGTTCTTAGGTGCCAAGAAGTGGCTCCAACAATCTGTACCCACAGTTCTAGGGGAGTCACACAAAATTCTGGCCTCCACAGACACCAGGTACAGACTTGGTGCACAGATATACATGAAAGCAAAACACCCATAAAAAATCTAGATACTGATTAAAAATTAATTTTAAAAATCTGCTATGTTTTTGTAGTTTCTTAATAATTTAGACTCCACAGTCTAGGTCTTAACTTTGTGTATGCAAACATACAGTAGGAATACTTTGTCTCTAAAATTTTTTCTTACAACTCTGAAGTGATCAGTTATACACAACACACATTCTTGAGAAAATGAGAAATAATGAGCATTAAAAGATTACTTTTAAAAATCTAACCTACAAATGACTTTTTTTCAATCAAAAATCATGACTTGTATTTGGAAAGGATTTTGGAGTGTACATAGTAGCCTACTTAACCATTTCAATTATAAAACCATTTGTTTGTTTGTTTTGTTTTGTTTTGTTTTTCGCCTTTTAGCCCTTAGAGGGCCTGGAACTCACCAAACCCATCAGGCTGAGTTCAGACTCACAGAGCTCTGCTTGTTTCTGTCTCCTGGGTTCTGGGATTAGAGCATACTATCACACCTGAGCAAAAAAAATTTCTATTTTTGTTTCTTTTGTTTTAAATGTATTCTGTACTTTCTCTGTCATTGCACTTGAAAAGTAAAGATAATGAGCTAAATATCTCAAAACCTTCTCTTCTCAATACCTGTCTACACATGACATCTGGCATGCATCATTCTCCTCGGTATCTATTTTTCACTCAGAAATTAGCATAGGCCAGATTTTGTTTTTATGTTAGCAAGCTTGTGGTTCTTTTCAAAATGTGAAGGAATCCTTCCTTCTTGTTCCTAATCTACCTAGATGCTCTTGGAATCTTAGCACATCAGTGAGTAGCAGGGCATGATTTGCACAGGTTTCTCCTTTGTTATGAATAGAAGTTTCCCGGTTTCTTTCATATTCCTTAGTTTTAAAAGGCAAATGTTTTCTAAAGCCATGAGAAGATTCTTGTATTTGTCCGTAATATGAAGAAATCACCTTCACACCCAACAGAGAACTAAAAGCTTGGTTAGATCACCTCAGCCTGGCTCCCAGCCTGCACGTATTAGGCAGTATCCAAGAGCCCAGACCTTGAAAGTAGCAATAAAGCTGGCTTACTATATTCTCGCTTACAAGTTGCTCAGCAATATGAGGAAGCTTTTTCTCCCATGTTCATGGCTGAACATAGTTTACCTGGACGTTGTCAGTCTCTCCACGTATTGCAGCTGCTTAAATAGAGCATTGGGTATATAGTCTTCAGCTTTCAAAAAGGTATTTCAGGTGGCATTCCTGCACTGCAAGGACGGATCAGTTGTGCTGAAAAGTTACTGCTGAGGAGTTAGAAGGTGTGTCTTAACGGATGCATTTCCTCCTAAGGTAAGCAGAGCACATGTCTCAGGGATGTGAGTAGGTCCCTCTCAGTCACAGTATTCCTATAATTCATAGCAACTCTGCTGATGAACTCTCACTGGCAAAGGCTGTGCTGGTGTGCAGTGGACAGCAAAGAAAGCAACTGTGCCTGTCCCCTCTGTAGCCATAAAACATATGTGTTAGAGCTGGAGTTTTGCAAATGGCAACTTCTTATGGCAGAGAGTATCTAACAGTGTCGTTGCATCCACATCTACACCACCCCAACTTTGTGAATGGGAAAGGAGAATGCTGGGCAGTGACAGGCTGTCTTAAAGTTACATTGTTTTAGATGACTAAAACTTATAGGTATTTCTGAATCATGCTCCTGTGGCATCGTGATGTTTTAGGATTTCTGAGTAAAATCTGTCGAGGATAAAACTGGCCTCATGCTGCCCTGGTAGAGGCAACAGCTGTTATCTGCTAGTCTTATATCTTACACTTGAATTACCTTTAAAAACAGATGAAAACGCAAAGTCAACTTCAGCAGTGTTTTGTGAGTGTCATAAATAGCAGATGTAATAGCTGTGTTATGACTGATGAAAGTCCTAATCAATGTGTTCTCATTTGCTTCAGGTAGTGGTTAAAAAGGTTTGCCACAATTTAAGCAAATGGAAAATACTTATCCTGTCTCAATTTTGCCACTTAAAATAAGTACTTAAAATGATTGTTCATCAGGTTGATAGTGTTTGGCTTGTCCTAGTCTCAAACAAGCCTATAATGGTTCTTGGGCTCCCACAAAGGACGGCTCCCACTTGGTGTGCAAATCCAGATTTGAATAACTGGCTCTTGATGCCAGTAAATGTCAAGAGAGGCAACATTTCCTCCTAGCTACTAAATAAGACTAAATTTTTTGAGCCAAGTTACAGAGAAGCAGAGTTTTAAGGACAGATAAGAAACTGAATGCACCACGGTACTGCTTGGGAAAACAAACAGTGTAATAATCTAATATCCTTAATTTTATGTACATGAATATAATGTATATCAACTTTTTACACGAGATACATACAGAATTTAAACATTTTACTGAACAAATAAGAATTTACAACAACAATATTACTGCTGAGAGGGTGATGTGATCTTTGATTAGATCTATGCTTTAACAGAGAAAGAATTTAATAGCTTACAATAATAGGAACATCAACATTTAAAACAGACTTTATAAAATAATTTATATTTATATTTATATTTATATATTTCCCCTAACATCTATAGAGAGGAATGATATGCATTTGTGATGTGTGCAACGAATGGCATATTTTAAATTTTTAGGTAATAAAATAATTTAGAAGCAGTTCATGCAATGGTCAAAGCAAAGAGTGGTATCCATCAAGATACCCTCTTTGTTTGACATCAACCAACATCAGACAGATGGACCGTAAGTCCCACAGCTGTGTGTGAACACAAGTCTACAGGTTATGTTAGACAGACATTAATGTACGCAGGTTGGCATCTTCTTTCAAGCACAGGTCACAACTTCCGTTTGCCGTGTGGGAGTAGTCAGTTTACAGGCAAAGTGATTTCATGTCTCTCCTGTAGGTCTACACATCTTCACTCAAGGTAACTAACAGACCTTCCTTGTTTTCACGACTTTACTCTGGTACTTCACAGAGTGTCCCCCGTGTCCTACGACATAGACATCCAGCAGGTAAGACTTGCCAGGCTGTAGATCTCGGATTGTCTCGGTGGTCACTGCTTTCTTCAGGTTTTGGCCATGGAAGTATTTGCAAAGGACCTTCTCTGACTTCTCTCTAGTGTCTGGTCCGAGGCACTGGTTTTGGTCTCTTCTTCTCTGGTCTACACTGTAGTTTCCATCCACTTCTTTTCTGTAGATACAAAACTTTCTCCTTTCTTGGGTGCCCAGCCAAGCCACAGTGACTGAAGAGCAGGTGCGTAGTTTGTCAAAGGCTTTGATTCTTGTGTCTTGGGGAAGAGAAGGGAATTCCTGCTTACTGGGCCTGGTGGTAGCCAGTATTTTCAACTTGGATGCTCCTTTCTTGTTGCCTTTCAGTCGAATGAGGTATTTTGCTTTGGGTTTTCCTCTGAGCTGAAACTGCCGAATGCCTTCCACATTCTGCGACAGGAGCAGCTTTCCATCTCTTCGCACTTGTACTTGAACAGTGTCCAGACAAGAGTGAATAAATAAGGTGACCTTTTGGTGAGAGGAAGCTGGAGCAAGCCGTAGAAACTTTGTCCCCTTCCTTTTAACAAACACGTCGGTGACCCTCCCATCTTTGAGCACCACTGTCTTCTGTTTTGCTTCCTTTTTGGTTCTGGCAAAGGCACCCACGTAAGCTGTGCTCATGTTGCTGTTGGTATTGACCATGAAGACATCAAAGTAGTACTGGGTGTCAGGCTTCAGGTCAGAGACTGTGAAAATATTTTTGTTTCCTATGCAGATTTTCTGAATGTCAACCTTGGGCCTCCAGGAGACATGGCGCCCCACTTTGGGAGAAGGATTTGCCAGGAAGCTTCGATCTTTGCCCAAATTATCTATTGGAAATCCAAAATGGGCAAAGTCAAAGGGGTTGAAGTCCAGGCCAGGTTTGGGTGCCACCATGAAGGCATCATCTGAGTTCATCTTTGTTTCCACTGCACAGAGGCTTTTGAAATTGTGTTCCTTGTTGATTACCACACAGTACTCTATGGGTTGTTTTAACAGAGAGGCTGTGGGGCTCGGCTTCCAGGCTAAAGTGACTGTGGTACGTCCGACAGAGGTCACATCAACTCTGGGGTCATATGGCAAGTCAGGGTACGGCTGATCAGATTCTGGAGTGGTGGTGGCATACACTTTGAAATGTGTGTCTTTCTCTGTTGAAAGAAGCTCCACCTGATACAAACCAGCTGGGGAACTTGAAGACAGAAAATACTCTACGTCATTGCCCTTGTAAGAGAACAGTTCTGTGCCCTCCACATCAGTCATCTGCTGCCTCTGCTGGTCAAGTGGCTCAGGGTCACCTAGAGAACAAGGGAGAAACATAGGCTGCATGTTAATGTGGCTTGCCAGCCTTACATTGTGTTTTCAAACATCTTATCTTCATGTCAAAGACATGACATATTCCTAACAGAGGCAATGGCTCCACAATCATGGGAAGAGCAGAACCTGTATTGTAAGCCTTACTGCTTCTCATAGGCTTTTCCAAGATTGCCCAGGTATTATAGCTCACAAGCATCCTTCTCATAGGAGCAGCTGACAGGCCTTTGTCTTTAAGACTCTCCTAGAGGAGCCACAGCTGGGTTTCACTCATTATCTTCTGTTTGCTTTCCACCCTCTCCATCTTCTTTAGGTACTAACCCTTTTCTCATACTGACTTGCTTCTCACTCTGGCCTTTAAACAGTGCTAAATGCTTCTCTATTTATTTGCATACACCTTTATCCTTAACCTTGGCTGAGTCTCAAACCCACCTATTGAGAGCCTTTTGTACCCCACAACAGTTAAGCCAGAATGTCTGAGGCTGAAATCGTGGACCACGCAGGCTTGCCCAGAGCAGACACAGAGGAAACTGTTCAAACTGTGCAAACTGTTCAGCTCCACACCCCCATTTCCTTTGTTTACTTTACCATGTTCAGGGTCACCTCATGACATTTCTCCATTTTAGTCTCCAGCCTCACATGTGCAACTGGGCTGTTTCTCGTACAGAAGCCTGTATGTTTCAGAAGGCTTCCAGCTGTCTTTCAGAGCGCTGAAACTATCTGTATCCTGCTGTTTACCTGATCCATCCGCACTGGCCTCTTCAGGCAGCTCCTGCAGGCTAAGCTTCCACTCCAAAGGTGCATCACAAGGTGTCACTGTGACTGACAGAGGGGTGTTGTCTTCCTCAACCATGAAGAAATACCTATGGGAAAGTTCAGACCCTGTGATGACTCTGATAACGACAATCAAGACTTACCAGAAAAGCCACTTGGTTTTCATTTTATTCATTTAACATACCTCAGAGAAAACATAAAACTATGAAAGTCCAAGAGTTAGAAGTCCAAATGCAAATTGGCAGCCAAACTTAATACCAACAAAAACAAAGGATAGTCAACCAAGTGTTCTGAGTTCAAGTTGAACTCTTGCCCATCTGTAGGGGCCCGACCATATAATATTCCTTGTGTGCCCTATAGCACTGTACTTTGACAAATGTTTGTGTTGCCTTGATGGTACTCTGATGGTATACCTCCTATGTCTAAATATCCATTTCTGACATCATTATCATAGTTGTAAAATGTACCCTTTATCTCTGGCAAGATAACAGAGTGCGTGCGTTTATTATTTATTTATTACCGAAACATCCTGTTGAATTAAGTGTGTTAACAATTTTCAAAAAGAATTAAAAAAATTCAAAACAGTCTGCTCTGTGCTTTTTTATGGTACCTCAGGAGATATTTTATGGAAAATAAAAACATCATTAACTGATAAAAAGATGCAGATTCTAACTCCAAATTGCCTTCATAATTTTACTTAATTGTCTTTCAAAGCCTGTAACCTTGCAAATGAGGGAAACTGGAATCACTGCTGGCCAGCCCACACACAGTGCTCACAGACTCTATGGCAAAAGAGTGGGTGGGCTTCACTTCCTGTGTACTGTACCAGCTCAGCATCCCTCAAATCTTTCTTCTCCATATGCTCACCACCAGCACACATGCCAGATTGACCACAGTTCCCTACTCTGCTGACTCTGAGCGTGTCTCCCACATCCAATCTCTCTAGCGAGCATTCACATGGATTCTCCTTCTCTATCACTTCTTGCTGCTGGATCACCTCAGATGCCTGGCATTGCCTCTTACATGTTAACTCTCTCAGGTTTAAATCCCTAGCCTGAACTTTTCCATCATCAAGAAGACAGTGGCATTACAAACCTGAGGCATCTAATCTGAATTCCTACAGCCGACCCCTTTTCAGTAGACCAATGTCAGGCCACTCCAGATGAGCATTTTGGAGTCCCTGTTGGTGGTTTTTTAGCTCCCTCGTACACAATGTATTAGCAGACTTTTTTTTTTAACTTTGCCTTTGAAATACATGTAGAAATTGCTGCTCTCTCCTGGCTGGTCTGTCTTCATTCCCTCTTGCTGAAGCCTTGCTGAGGCCTCCTGACCTGCTCCCTATTTTCACACTGGAGCCCCTTGGTGTTGTAACCCTCAAACACAACACTTGCCCTGGCTCAAAATCCTCTGGTCCCTGTGTGCTACAGAGTGCCAGCCACACAGCTGACAGTGCCTCACACTCTCTTCACGCTCAACCTCTGCTGAATGTCGCTCAGAGCTTGTGGTGCCGACCTGGGGCCTCTGCATGTCTGCTCCTCTGCCTGGCGAAGCACTTGTCTTTGAGACTAAGGGGCTTCCTTCAGCTCTCCACTCCAATGCTGAGGATCCATTTGGATGCCATATGTAAAATACTTCCTTCTTGCGAATGAGTGTCTCTTTCATTTTATTTTCAAAACATTTATTGGAACCTAACATATTGTGCTTCTTTTATTCCTTTTTCAATTTTCTGTCTCCCTCAACTAGACTGACAACAAGAGGGCAGCTGTTTATTTCACTGATTTATATACTCAGACACCAAAATAATTCAAAATATTTGTTGAGTCAACTGACCGGTTGTGATTTCCACTGTTAAATCATTTTCCTACTTTCAACTATTCTTTCCATTGAAACAGGAGCAATATCTATAAAAAGCCTGATTCAAAGTTTCTAGAACCTGGTGAAACACTGGGTGACCATAATAAAAACTACCCTTTTCTAACTTTTACAAGTTGAAAATGAAGTATGCAGAATTTCTTGTTCCCAAACTAAGAGGAAAACGACATCAGTACATCACCATTGATGTCAGAGTTCCTTTCTTATATCTAAGCCTCATCGTTTCTCATAGGCTCCCGTACCATTTCCCAGGTACCGTAATTCACAAGCATCGTTTGCACAAGAGCAGTTGCCAGGCCCTTATGTATAAAGTAAGGTGGCCCGGAGCCTGAGCATCCTAGAAACGATTATTTCAAATCTACTACTTCAAATTCTACTATGCTGAGATAATTTTTAAAACCTCATATTAGACTGAGATTGTTCAGTCTCAATGTTTTGGGTTTTTTTTTTTTTTGGATTTTTGTATATTTATAAGTATGGATGCTGGTGCGTTCCTTATACTAGGCAAGGAAGCTGTGTGGCGTGTATAACAAATAGAAGGTCAAGATGGTTTCCATAGCCCTGAACAAACCAAGTGTACCCTGCTGGGAAGCTGAAATAAAACTAAGGGAATATTATACAGACACACACACACACACACACACACACAAACAAAAAAACCACTTCTTCTTCAGCTTCGAGCCTCTTCATAGCTTTGAGTAAGTCTCTAACTGATCTCATCCATGGTCAAGCTTTCTGAGTGAGGTCATGCCTTCCCTATCAGGCTTTATTCTTGCCTCCATCTCTTCAGTTTTTGTGCTGTGGCCACACAGGACTTCTCCCAAACTCCTCCCACTCCTGGGTCTCTGAGATGTGCCCTGCTGACATTTACATCCTCCTTCTTCGGAAATGTCCGTCCTCAGTCATTCCAGAGAGATTTGCATGCTCTCTGTCAGGGCCTATGTGCTTCACTTGTCACCTCTACTGCAACTTGTGTCTATATGCATTTGCGTGGTTATTTGATCTCACATTACCCCAAGGCCCAGTTAGGGCTCATCTTCCATGTCACTGTACGCCCTATGCGCAGCATGCTAGCACACATTTCTGAATAAAGCAAGCACTTGCTGAATATTTTTGAATGAATGCATTACTAAGGCAATGAGCTGAACTCCAGAATCTTAACAGCAATCTTGTTACTTTGGCTTGAAGATATTATATCTAGAATCCGTTTCTATTTGAATACATAAAATCTGAATAAAAATAGAAGTTTTCTCTTCACTCTTCAGGGATGAATTTGGAGATGGCGGGTGATATAGGGCAAGAGAAGACAGACTGAGAAGCATATTAAGCATATGCAACATCTCTAAAATAATACTAGACAATGATCTAAGATGATAACTAGCTGATTCAATTGTTTACTGTGCCAAGTCTGGTACCACAGCCACCCACACATGTGTCAAGATATTTACTACTTAATGTGCCTACTTTCTCAAGAAGATTTTTTATCCTTTAGCAGAGATGATATTAAGCCAAGCCTTTCCGTATCACATAAAATTGGCACAATATCAAACAGTGTGTGGAGTTTCATGGTTTGCTTCTTGGGTTTTACTTGAGCAGCACAGCGTGGCAACATCAGAGCCAAAACAGTGGGCGAACCGATCTGTTTGCTGCTCTCTCCCTTTCAGAAAGCATTTTCTCTCCTTAGCTAAAAATGATGTGTTAGTAACTTGATGACTGACTGTGTACCAGTTAACAAACAGGAGTATGTTTGCACTGCTCGAGGTGATTGTCATGCACGGATAGCAGCAGGACATCCCTCCGGGAACACTTTCATCTGAAAGCTTGCAAATTAGGGACAAGCTAGAACCTAAGCCAACAACATGGCATGGCATGCATTTGTTATTAAGCATGCACAAAGCACACGTAGAAGAGAGTGACAATAAGAAGTGAAAGGGCATGATCTGTGCATTCAGATATGCACTGCCGCGTGAGGCTGGCAAAGTGAAATGAAGGAGAAAACATGAATGAGGGATGCCCGACACGTCACCACCTAGCTTCGCGGCTTGTGTGTACTACGAGAACAACCTCTGGTCTCGCCGTCTGTTTCCACTCCTCCAGACAACCATTCAAGGTAGAACATGGGCAGCAGCCGTGTGTACTGCCGCTGCATTTACCTCCAACTCCAAAAGTCTGTGTCTTCTTGGGGCTACAATCCTACCTAACTAGTGCAAGCAAACACTGCACTCAGTTGTAGACAGAAGGGGCCTTAAAGTGTGTTTAAACAAAAAAAGACAAGAATACTAAATTATAATATAGGATAAACCTACTAAAATCTGTACACCTAAAGAAACTAATCAAGAGGGAGGACTCTTACTAAAATGCTCAATTCCTATCCAGAAAGGCAAAGAGGATGGACATCAGAAGAAGGAGAAAAGAGGGAACAAGTCAGGAGCCTGCCACAGAGGGCCTCTGAAAAGCTCTGCCCTGCAGACTACCAATGTAGATGCTGAGACTTATGGGCAACCTTTGGGCAGAGTGTAGGGAATCTTAGGAAAGAAGTGGGAAACAGTAAGATCTGGAGAGGACAGGAACTCCACAAGGAGAGCAACAGAACCAAAAAATCTGAGCACAGGGGTCTTTCCTGAGACTGCTATTCCAACCAAGGACGATGCATGGAGATAACTTAGAACCCTTGCACAGATGTAGCCCATGGCAGTTCAGTATTCAAGTGGGTTCCACTGTAATAGGAACAGGCACTGTCTCTGACATGAACTGATTGTCCTGCTCTTTAATTACCTCCCCCTGAGGGGGAAGCAGCCTTACCAGGCCACAGAAGAGGACAAGGCAGCCACTCCTGATGAGATCTAATTGACTAGGATCAGAAGGAAGGAAAAGAAGTCCTCCCCTATCAGTGGACTTGGGGAGGGGCATTCGTGCAGGAGGGAGGGAACCACGGGGAGGGAGGGAATACAAAGTGAGTAAAGTGTAATTAATAAAGAAAAAAAGGGGAAAATAAATGAAAGAAAGAAAAGGGAAGAGGTACTGGCAGCTGTGCAGTGTTGCGGAACAAAAGCATAATTTAAAGAAAGTGCCATTTTAATGCCACCCTTAAAACTACAACTAAAGATTGCTTAACTTTTAGAAGGTCAGAAGGTGAGCCATTTATTTGATTCAGCGACATGATTATATAATTGAAAAGCTGTTTTTAAAGAACACTACAAAGAGAACAGAACCCAAACATATTTTGGAAATGAAAGACATGTCTAAAGAAAAATTTTAGTCTTTTTCACTCAAATATTTTAAGGACAAAAATGTAGGCTCAATGACAAATTCAGTTAATATTAAGGATTTCTCTAAAGTCGTACATGGCATCATGTATCTTTTCTTTTTCTCACAGACTGTCTCTGTGAGGACAAGGGCAACAAGCTCCTCCATGTACTAAGCTTTTCACCCTATATCTTCAGTCTCATGAATAGCATTTAAAGGTGCATAATTATTGACACTTCGAGTCAGTTCTTAATCTGTTGCATTCTGTCACACAAGTTACTTTACTCCAGGGTTGAAAGAGTTCTCACTTCACCTCTGAAAACTGGTCTTCTGTGCTCCTTCCAACTGACAAAATAGTGGGGCTGCTAAACAGAAGAGGTTTATTGTATTCTCCCTCCATGAAATTGAAAATATGACATAAAGATCACTTATCTCAGACTTTGGAAAAATGGGTTAGTTACAATGGAAAATTCTATGTCCTGGAATATCAGTTCATCTCAGGTTAAATAGACAAGTTAAAAAAAATATTTCAAAACATTAGCAATGAAAGACAAAGAAGAGTTAAAGCTTGACAGATTGATAATTTCATATGTAATAGTTTGAAAGATTTCATTCCTATGATATATATGTGTAACTTTTAATGACAGGCATGTTTAGAAACACTACAGAAGCCTGTTGATGGTGGAGCAAAAGAAATGATCGTTGTCAGTTTTTCAATATTTGAATCTCTCAGAATTTCACCTTATCTCTTTGTACTATCCTTCCATGAGTGCAAATGTTTGAAGAGCCATATGTTGAAGTAATTTCAGTTTACAGAGCTGTCTTAGAAACCCCTTACTCTCCTAGATGTTAGATGTCACTCATTCAAAAATCGAGACTACGGAGTTGCCTCTTGTATCTGACAGGGAGCACAACTAAGAAGACCCGGACAGCCTCAGCCAACGAGCAGCTATTGCGCGGCCGCTATGTCTTTCTCCCGTAGAGAAAACACGCAATGCTGTTGACATGTTGTTTTCAGAAGTCCACGTGGGGGTTTACTGTCTGCTGTGGAGCCTCTCATACGGGCACTGAGCATCAAGCCCTGCAAGGACAGTACCTTCTAGGCGTGTGTCTGAAGAGGTAACTGCTGACTTCAGCTCCATCTGGAATCACAGATGAATCATGGAAAAATGCCTTATCACGGATCTGCATCTGAAAAAGCTCCTCATCTCGGGTGGGCAGCTTCTGGGTCCTCGAGGTGAGCGGTAACAGGAGCCACAGCAGACACCAATGGAGCAGGTCCATCCTGGGCAACAGAAACAAGCCCTTCGATTAGCCCTGCAGGCAGACCCTGGGTCAGGTGAGGAAGCTTCCGGAACGGTCAGCACCCTACATTTACCCAGAATCAGTGATGCACATACACACAATTTTGGAGCAATTCTTCTGTGTTTCATTTAAACCCATTTCATAATGTTAAGGATGGATTTGTTAGAATCTCAGATATTTAAAAATATTTTGAAATGAAAGAACTTTTGATGCATTAACTTCCCTGAGTCCTAAGAAAGAAAGTCAGCACTTCATTGTGGAGAAGCCAATGTGATCCTTACTGAAAAAGTCCTGTCAGTGTCTGAGAGGTTAGAGGATCACCAAGGGTCAGTCCCTCCATGTTTTACAAAATTTATGCACAAGAGTTGGCCAGAGTCACTGCTCAGTGACCTCATTGACACCATTATTGGATGAAACTTCCAAATTATGTCAAAGAGAGTCACAGGGAGCAGAAAGATTTTACACATTTATTTTTAAATTCTTGCTTACAATTTGGCAGAATTTTGTATGTTTTACTTAACGCTAGAGTTTCACAAATTAGGCATTTTTTTTTAAAGATTGAGATGCTCAGCCCCATCATTTGTAAAAGTTGATTCAAAGTCATAAAGTTATTTTATTGATATCTGATTGTTACAACTAACAGAAGCACATTTGCATACACATTTACATGACAGAAACCAGGCCTCAGATCTTTAAATCATTGGTCTTAACTTCTGTAGAACAAGCCACTCAGACCTTTAAATCATTGGAAGTAACTTCTTGAAGGATCTTTCTAATGAGTTATATTGTGGTATTTATCAAGGCTCCCTATCAGTAACTAAAGCTCATTCTCTAGGCCTGTACACTCAAGATGCTGCCAAGGCCACTGACGTCCTCCTGACTCAGTTTTCTGTAGGATGGCCTAGATAGGAACAAAGATTGACATGTTAACTGAGGTTCTGGTCTTCTGATTAACCATTCATTTTTTTTCCGTATATAATTTTGTAATGAGTTATTTCCCAGGAATTCAAGGATTAGAAAAATATGATGGTTTCATACTAAAGCACTTCCCACAGGGAAAAAGGTAATTGCAAATGTTTGTAATAATTTGAAATGAAGTGGATGCTAATAAAAATTGAAAGAGCAGTTACTATAAGTTTGACATCATTTGACTTTAATTTTGTTTGTTTGTTTGTTTGTTTGTTTTTGAGTACCGTCAAAAAACGAGATGGCTCAGTGGTTAACGGTACTTCCTGTTCTTCTAGAAGAGTCAAGTTTTGTTCCCACCATTCACATAGGGTAACTTATAACAGTCCGTAACTCCAGCTCCAGGGGATCTGGTGACTCTGGCCTTCTGAGACACCCACATGTATGTGGCATTCACTTGAATGCACAGGCATGTGAATAGGCGCACACATGTGCGCTCTCTCTCTCTCACACACACACACACACATGCACATAAAAAACTAAAACAATTTAGATAACTAAAAATGGTTTTGAAAGCAATAAACTTTATAATGAGGGTGTGAATAAATTTTTCAGAGTCATCTTGCTCAAAAAAGTACTTTCAACTTCTTCTGCATATTTTTCGTCTGCTTTGAATTTATTTTTCCACCCAAAATATCTGCAGTAATAGAGTTACTATATGCAAAGCTTCTTTTCCTGATTGCCTTACTAAAGTTAGCAAATGTGGTGAAAGTTATGCTTACACTGGGTTATAACACTGGTCAGAACTATTATGCAGTATAAAGTAGGTGCTGCTATCACACAAACCTCAGTTACACTGCCAGAGAAGGGCTCCCATTGCAGGTAGAATCGACGGCAGAGCTTAAACTTTGCAATGTCTCTCAAGAAAAATTTTCCATATTCCACCCTTTCTTAGTTGCGCTGTAATTGGAAGTGCAATTACTCTCTTCCCCATTGCTGTCTGGGGTGAAGGAGTGCGAAGTCTGAATAGCATTTGGTATTTGCTAAGCATGCAATAAAATGTGCTTAGGAAGATTTGCGATTTTAACCAAACAAAACATCCTTGGTCATTCCTCTCGGGGTGAGGCCTCTTTGCCTTCTGAGGAAAAATACTAGACAATTGCTTAAGTCTCTTCAGAAGGGTGAGGATTTGGCTACTCCGGGGCAGTATACCACAGTAGGTTCTCTGTCTGCCCGTAAGGCTGCCAACTGCCTTACGTTCCACTAGGTGACTCGGCTCCAGTAGGCCGACTGATGCCCTTGGGTATTTAGATTGAAAACTAACATTCCATGACTACGAGACATGGCCCAATGGTAAATTTATATGGTAGATTAATAATTTTGTACATGAAGTAAATAAGCATGTTAGACTCCACCAAGAAAGAATAGAGTTAGCTTATTAAAATTAAAAACTAAGTCAGCATATAACAATGGTATATATTTATGGTGTCAAGTATGACGATTTGATACATGTATTTTACATACACTGATCAAGTTAGAATAATTAGCATTCTTATTATCTTAGACATATATTCCTTCTTTCTGTTGGAAACTTTTAGACATTTTCCTTTACCTCTTAGAGTGCATCTACTGAATTATTTCAATGCACAGCAGTCTTGCTGTGCCATGAACACTTGAATATTGTTTCTTCTATCTGAGATTTGGTGTCCACTACCAACCTTCATCTAGCCTCCTCTTTTATTTATTAAAATATACATCAGGTACATCTTTGCTTTCTGACAACCACCAGAATTGTCACACTAATTATGATGAAGAGGGTGGAATGATTTTTTCAGAGAAGTGTTTAAAATTAACATAACTTGAAGACACAGGGATCTGTATTATATCATACTCTGGTTCAGCATTCAATATTTTAAGCATACATTTATTTATTTATTTTGTGTGCGAGAGGACAAGTGTCATTGTGCGTGCTAAGATGGCCGAGGTCAAAGGATAATTTGGGGGAGTAGTTTCTCTCTCTCTCTCCCATTCGTGTTCTAAAGACTGAACTCAGCTTCTCGGCCTCACTGAACATTCAACATTTCAACATTAAATAATTGAGGAGGGGAAAGTTACCCTGATGAACATTAGTCATTTGTGCAATTTTATCAGATTATAGACAGGATTTATTTTTTTTAAATGTGTTTTGAGAAGGAATCAAAGATAATCAAACACTACTTTGTAAGCACAACATGTAGATTTCAACTCATAATTTATACGCACTGATCAAAAATTGATTCATTTAGAGACTGTTTCAATGGATGTCTTAAAGTTGCATAGTTTCTTTAACCCATGTGTTCTCTCTAAAAATTTCATTCTAAGAATTAGTCACTATATATTTTTTTTTTAAATTAGCCTACAAAGTAATAGGCTTTCTTGCCAGGCTTTCACTCATAAGTATCATTATACTTTTTGATTATTCAAGGCCTCCCCACTCCCTTCTCCCATCCTCCAGTCCCCTTCCTTCAAATAGTCCTCCTGCTTTCTTATCATGTATGAGGGATTAGTCACTTTAAATAAACAACTGGAAATACATTCCTCTCCAGAGTAAGCCTTGCTAAGTCAGTCTCTGAGAACGGACTTCTGAAATTACAGAAGTGCCCTCTAATGGTGTGACTTCTCTTGTTTCTCCTTGCTTCCTCTCCACATCTACAGCTTATCTAGATTTAAAGTTTGGATTCAGTAATGTTGATCAGGCCAGGCATGGTGGCATAAACCTGATCCCCAGTCTCTGGAAAGAGACTGTTGTTCACCATGTCTCCTTGTCAGGAATTAACTGACCATCGTGTGAAAACGCTGTATTCTGTTCAGAGGATACAGGCTCCAGCTGTGGCTCCCACAGAGAGGATTTATATCAGAAAAATAAATTGAGTTCAGAGCACTGGTGAGATGGAGGTAGGAGGATCAGGAGGGCAGCGTCATCCTCAGCTACATAACCAGTTTATGGCTAGCCCAAGCTACAGTGAGACCTTCCATCTCACAGAAAGAAAAGAACATCCCTCCCCTCGCCCAAATAAAACAATGCTAGCCCCAGAGCAACGGTATTTAAAAACTCATTAGTCAGAATTGCAATTTCAGAATGACTTCTTACATGGCCATCTGGTGGATAATGTGGGGAATGTGCCAGTCTGCAGCAAGGAATCTCGTTCTCCTCTACCACAGGGAGCGTAACTCAATCAGTTGTAAAAAATTGTCAGGGTATCATATGCACATGCAAATACAAATGCATATGCATTGCTCTAGGAAAGTTAGTCAGCATGGCTGTATCCATAATCCAGAAAAACTGCACGCTGCTGTCCTAAACACCAAGCAGGGTCAGCGTCATGGTTTGGACTGGAAGTTTCTGGGGCCTGAAACATTCAGATACTAACAAATATCTGCCAGTGTTCATGTTGTCAAAAGGCTTTCTTCTAAATCCTGTGGACACTGAGGAGAGAAGAGTCTTTGGAATTACAGGCTACTAACACATGAGATAGTTTCACTCTTTGGAAGGATAGTGTGTGTCAGATTAAAACTTACCCCCAAAATATTTCTTTTTCTCTTTTCTTCTCCTCTCCCCATCCCATCTCTTATCTTTTATTAGTCTGTCTCCATCTCCAGCTCTGTCTACAACTCTATTTCTTTCTCCTTCTTTATGTCTCCACCTCTGCCTCTATCACATCTCTCTGTCTGCATCTCCATCTTTTCCATCTTCATCTCTATCATCTCCACTATCTCCATCTCTATCTCATACTTAGAAACTGAGGAGTGGAGATCATTTTTTTTCTAAAATATCTCAAGATTATGATGCATTCTATACTGACAAAGATGAGGCGAGTCCAGGGATAGTGGACAGTGATAGCTTTATATTTAGTTGTATGCTATATGTACATGCGTAAATTCTTCAGGTCAAATTATTTAGAAATGTATGGCTGTAGTTAGTTGACATAGAAGCAAAAATCAATGAGGGGTAGTCCTAAAGGAAGAATCTAAAATGTGGCATCTGCGGCTGCTGTGTGGTAAGAAGGTAAACACTACAGTGAAGCAGATGTGCCG